TTCGTTATTCAGTACGGCCCTGATGATTTTAGTTTCCTAAGACATCAATTTATTTTTTATGCCAGCAGTTACAGCATTACTCCGTGTTCTAGAATTTTTTTCATTTCTTAAACTATTAATTTTCTCATTTGGTTTTGTTACAACCTTTTTCAAATTTACAACTTCGGTTTGTAAATCTAACAAAACTTTCTAAAAAAAGTTCACGTTGCCAAAAAAGGATTTCATATCTTTAACTTCGGCATTTTTTTGGAATATTAACTTTTATAAACTAATGAAAGAAGTTTATAAAAGTTGTTGTTTATAAACTTTATAAAAGTTTATAAAAATGTCCAAGTCAGTACTAAATGGAATTTATCACAGTCTTCAAGGATTGGAGTATACTTAAGGTTGAAAGCCCGATTATGTTATTCAATAAGAATCAAACCAAGAGTTTGTGTGAAAGTGCCATCTTGTATTTGAAAAGTTGGGGCGTTGACTTGTTGAGTTAGAAAACAATCCTCAATTGTATTTATAAATTGGAAACGTTTTGATATTAAAAAGTTGATATACACTTCGTTTCTCCATAACTTTTTTGTTAAAATCTTATGAAGTACATAATAGTAATTTTGATTATCTAATTTATATTTTGTAGCGCGATTAGACTCAATATCAATATCAGTACTGCTGTTGGGGGTCTGTAAATGCATCTAAATAATATCTTTTTTTCCAATTAGTAATGTAACCTGTATTTGTTCAACTTTACTATTGCACAAACTGATATTAATTGTTTTAACCGAGTTTAAGTTGTTAGAATTGCAAATAGCAGCCCCACAGGCTCTTTTATTATCACTTCTGCCCCGTCTATTCAATGAATAGTTATTTTAATTGGAGAGCAAGTCTTCTTTAAACCATATTTCAGTGATTCCAATGATGTGAGGTACAATTTTCTTGTATTTACTAACTGCTAATGTATTCTCTTGAAATTTATTGATGTACAAGTGATGTTGGGTATACAAACAAAGCAAGCTCTCATACCGTTGGTTTGACTTTAAACTTGACAATTCCGCTGCTACGAATGTGGTATCGAAATGTTTAATTTATTGTGTTGTATTTACGTTTGAAGTCTAATAACTTTCTGCTTCGATTACGTCTGGATTCATAAAGATTTTATCATACGGCTTATTTGATTTGAGTTGGTTAGCTGCTAAAAGAATTGAGTTGCGGCCATTCGAGTCTGGATGCTCTGCAATAATTGGGACAAGCTTATGACTGATTTTAGAGAGAATTCTTCTAATAGACCTTAGATTAGGATCGTGTTTGCCGATGGCGTTAAATATATTGTCAATTTTAATGTTATCATTAGCGGCTTTTTTGGAACTACTGGTTTTTTTGGAACATGTAACGCCATAAATTAAGATATTTTTTTTTTTGCGTTCTTGTTGCTCAATAGATACTGCGTTGATAATTATTAACTGTTTTTTAGGTTTTTTCAAGTTTTTTTTTACTGCTAATACCCAGTCTTTGGTGAGCGAGGTAGGTTTTTTGATTGTACTATTTTTTCAATGGGTTCTTGGAGTTCTTTGTTCACATTTTTGGGGAATGTTATCATGTCTTCCGTGCGGGCGCTCTTGTCTTAAAGCCATTTATTATGATTGGCAAATGTAGATTTTTTAATTGGATGACGAGCTTTTGAATATGGATCTGTCATTTAACTATATTGCAATTAGCATTAAACTTTCGCAATTTTTTTGAATAACGGGTTATAACTAAAAAACGGTAATAACTTTGAAGGAACATAACTCCCTTGGTTCATGAGATAAACACTTAATTTAAAAAAGAAAAAAATAGTATCTTAGGTGGGTAATTTATTTACATATTCATTTTTTTCAATCAAACCACTGCGTCTTCCATAGTCTAATCAGTGCCGAGATGACTCAAAAAGGCGCTGTACAAGAGATTTTTCCATTTTAGAATGGATATACTTTATTCTGCTTTTGCGAAATTTCTTAAGATTATCAGCTTTCCAATTATTCTCATACACTTTTTCTTTTAGAATACTCTAAAAATCCTCAATCGGGCAACTATCAGGCACATTTGCCGAGTTATCTTCTCTTTTGACAAAAACGATATTTATCTCATTTATGTAGTTTTGTACAGAATTTGCGTAATGAGACGATGCCATATCAGGCCAAAATATGTATTTGCCATCACTAGAAGTAGTTTGTTCTTGATACAATCATTTTTGTAGACTTCTTGGTTGACTGCAAAGCCACTTTTTATAAATATTGGCGAGGAAATTCCTTTATCGTAAAAGCAAATCCAAACGAGTAATTTCTTTTCATATTTTGCAGGGGGTTAATTTCGACACTTGCTGATATCTCAGAAACATCACTTGAATAATAAATATCATTTTCATTAATCAAAGAGTGGTTTAATGTGAAGTACGACCCGTCATCAAGGATTAACAATTTATTCGCGGATATTCAATACAGCCGATTGCACTTCGTTCGAGCTGTCTCTATTTAGTCACAAGTTTTGAATAGAATCTTCTTCTTCTTTGGCCTGATTAAGGACTTTGTTTTAAATATTTTGCTGATATATACTTGGGTGCATTAAAATTTCTGAGCTGCTTGTGCTTGCCATATGCCGTCTTTAGGTGAAACATTGTTTTAAGTCTTTCTATGTTTCTTTTTGTCATTATTTTAGCAATCCTACCACTTCCAGGGACTCTCTGGTGCCCAGAATTATTTTCAGCGCTCGTCGTATAATGGTATATATGGTGTTAGTAGGAATTTTTTCAGCAAGAAAGTGATCAATTGTAAACTCTTTCCCTTTAGATCGGTTTTTCAAAAAGAAGCTGTACAAACGATCTCGATGGGCTTCTTGTTTTTATTTTATTTTTCTCTGCAACAATAAATTATTTTAATTTAAAATAAAACAAGTTTTGTAGAAAATTGAAAATGCTACAAACTAGGTAAGACTGCAAGCATAAATAATATAAAGTAAATTTACATAACTTTGTCTTCAAAGTCATTACCGTTTTTTAGTTTTAACCCATTATTGTTTGAATATAGTTTTTGAATTGGTTTTATAGTTTTATATTTAATAAGAGTTTAGGATTTTTTATTTTATAATTTTTTTACTAGTTTTCTATTTTTTATTTATTTATTTGGTACTTATTTCTTAATTGATTAAAAATATATATATTTTTCAGTTTTTACAAACTTTTTAAAAAGATACTTGGAGTTTTTACACATTTTCTCATATAAAGATAATTTTGTTTTAAACTATTTTTTTATAACTTCTATTTTATCTTTAATGATTTTTTGAACCCCTTGGTTATCAAAGGTTATTTATATTTTTTAAGTTGTTATTTTTTCAATAATAGGAAAGTTAGCTTAATACACTGATTGAAATGTTTTTAAAAACGATTATTAAATTCAGCGTTTTTATCAATATGATTGCAGTGCAACAGCGATATTTGGCTTTTTAGCTTCTTTATTAGTCTGGTTAACAATTTAGTATTACAAAAATGAATTATCAAAAGCTAAAAAACCATAATGTCTAAGCAATCAATTACATAATTGTAGCAACCAATTATATAAAAATTTTTATAAGTGCATCATTACCGATGAAGAAACTTTATTCTGTGGCAACGCTTCACAGTGAATTAAAGTGTCCTATAATTAAAAAAAAGTTGTGTTTAATGTAGGTTTAATGGTATTAGTTGTTTTCCATACTTAAAAAGCTTTAATAAAATGATATTTGTTAGTCATTATTTTAAAAATTATAGTTTATACGACCTGTTGAATTGTAAGTTTTAAAACAAAAATTAATTAAAAATATAAGTTGCTACACATAAATTGTAAATTGTTTTATATTTTAATAAATTTATCTTTTTTTTAAACAATAAAACTTCGCTGCAAGTTTTTTGCTTGTAAGTAAGAAATTTTATTAAAGTTTGAAGTTGATGTGATTTTGTATGTTTTTTGAGTGCAATTTTTTACTTTTTTTAGTTAATTAAAAAAACCTCCAAAATCCTCCAGTCTGAAATTACTTTAAAGTTTTTATTAAGTATGTATGATATTTTAAAAATGTATATGATAATTTAAAAATGATTTGAGCCTCAACAAAGTACCACCTTGTCTAAAAAATAACTTTAAGATAACAGCAGGGGTGACGCCAGCGTTTTTTGGTCTTCGAGATATCAAACTTCCGGACATGGAGGAAACTCCGAACATTTATATGTTTATACTTATGTCAAATAAGGATGCTTTGCAAAAAATTGCGATGATTGGAGCCTTGGAACAAAAAAACCCTTAAAATTTTAGCCCTCCTTCCCCAAACGTGAGAGCAACAAGTTATTGAAATATTTTTTAAACTATTTTCAACTAGACTTGTATTCGTCGATAAATTTTAAATTTCATTGTAAAATAGCGTTCAAAAAATATGACCATATAAAGTTTAAACCTCCCTCAATATAAGGGGGTTGCAAATTTTATATGGTCATAGTTTTTGAAAGCTGAGAAATTATACAAAATACAATTAAAATTTTATTTCTTTTAATCAAAATAATATTTAGAAGCTCCAAATATGTTATTTAAAGCTAATTTAGTAATATTTAAAAAGAATAATAATTTTGGCATAAAAATGGGCAATCTGATCTACTGTGCGCTTTTAGAAATGATCTTGATTACGACCTCTTCCCGGAATCAAAGTTAATTTAACGCCGAGTTAGCTGGAGAAAGAGATGAGTTTCAAATCCGCCGTTTTATCTGTGTTTTACAATAACTTAAAAAGCTGCAACAACCCCTAGTAAATTTCTTACAAATGTTTGAGGAATAACCAACCTTAGTTTTTAACTGTGGAAAAAAAAGTCTGTATTATTAGAGCATCCAAATCATGAAGGTAAAAAAATGTCGTACCTTAGCCCCCCCCCCAGCTCCCTCCAACTACCCTTCGGCGCAACAGGCACTTTTACTTAACAAAGTAAATAATTTGCATCTTACGTAGAGCTTAATCGTTTCGGAATTTGTTATAAACATAACTTTCGCTCAGTGAAAACATGTGTTGAAAAACACGTTTTATTGACTTTTTTAAATTAGTTTAATACAAAAGTTATAACAAATTTAATTTGTTGATATATGTTTTTGACATATATCTTCTCTTGTTAATGAATTATGTCCGGGAACTCTGCTCTCGGTAAGCAGTTATTTTTTTTATTTTTGATTTAGGTGATGCTAAAATTTCGACTTAACTTCAAAATAATTTCTCAAATTGTTCAAAGATTGTTGACTTAGGTGGTTGTTTTAAATAGATACAACATGCGTTTAGGTTAGACTCTAAAATTTCAGTTTAAGTTAAAACCCTTTAGGTGTCTTGACTGTATAAATTTTTTTCAAAATTTTTTTATTTTTTCTTACATAAAAAAATTTTTAATTTTAAAATTTTAAAAATTGCTTTGTGCTAAAATTGTCTTGAAAAAAAGCATCTTTAAATCAAATTTAATAATAATATTTTCACTGTATTTCAAATAATCAAAGTTCTGGAAATGTCGGTCAACTTAGTTCAGGATTTTTGGTTCATTTTTTTTTCTCAAATTGATAGGTGTCTGTTCAATCAGCCAACATCATAGGACTACATTGTTTTTTCTTTTAAATATATATTTATTTACATATGTTTTGATCATAACACTGTGTGATTTTTATTTTAAGTTATTTCACAACATTGAGTATTATTAGTATTTCGAAAACATTTTAAAAGCAGTATTTAGTGATATGATTGGCATTTTTTATTTTTTCTTTAATTTTTCGGAATAGATAATATATATAAAAATAAAAAATATAAGAAAAATGTCATTATTAATTTGAGCTAATTCACGTGAAGTAGCTCAATTTAAAAACAGCATTTTTCTTTTTTACCAAAGTTTTTTGTTTTTTTAAGAATTTTTAATTATATTAATAAAGTTTTAAATAAATATATTGTGTTTCAGTTTTAGATTGTATATATATTTTTTTGAATACTAAACTATGCCTAATAAATTTTTAGTTAAAAGAATTTACACAAAGTTAGTTTGTTATGTGTTTTATTCTTTATTAGTCTAAAAAGTATTAAATAACAGCTAGCACCATTCTTATTTGAGAGTACATACAAAGTTTGCAAGTTATGCATTCTATTATGCATTTGTCTTTTTTTGCATTTAAGATTAACATTCTTATATAGCACAGCTTATAGTAAGTCTGGTGCAATTACTGTGTGCATATGAAAAATAAACACAAACAGAAGAATTAAGGTTTCCAGACACAATAAATAATTAATAACTTTTTGAATTAATCACAAAAGTATAAAATAATAAGAAATAATAAGTCATTTACACAGTTTTCTTTAAAATATTCTTAAAAATTTTTTTTGTTAAAGATAAAAGTTGTTTAATTAAACATTAGACTTTGCATAATAAAAAAAAATTATTAGAGAAATATGTAATTGTTTAAAAAGACTTTTTGTATAAAATAATATAAATTTATATAATTTATATTAAAATTATTCAATAGATCTTTTTTTTCATTATATATCTATAATATAAGGATACATGGGTGTGGAGTCGTAAAAAAAAAGTAACGACTCTGACTCCAGTTGTTGAAATTTTTTGAGTACAATTCTGACTTCGACTCCAACTTCGACTCCAACTCCAAAGCAAAATTTTTGAAAAATTCTTTGAATTCTTTAAAAAATATTGTGCAATAAGTTTAAATTTTTTTTGGACAAATTTATGCAACGTTCTTTGAGGTTTAGTATGAACATAAAGTTAATTGAATGTTTTGTACATACATGTGCAATACCAAGAAATATTACTATCGGAGTCGGATTCGCGATATTTTTTAGCGACTCCGACTCCACTAAAATTGTCGCAACTCCGAATCCGACTCCACAGCCCTGTAAGCATATAAAAAGAAAAATGATATATTTACTACAATATACCTTTAATGTAAACAATTTAAAAGTTTTTCATAATTTTTATTCAGAAGTGATTTACACAATTTTGATATTATTTTCATTCATTAAAAGTTTAATTACAAATAATTTTTTGTTTTCTCTTGTTTTCTCTTTTTATGCAAAGAGCAAGTTATAATGCATCATATTTATATGTTTAAAATGACGATTTGAGAGTTTCTTTTGTCATCATTTTTTTACACAAAACCTTATATATAAATGTACAAATTTAAAACTCCTAAAAAATATTTTTAATTACAATAGTCATTAAAATATTCATTAAACAGCAATCATAAATTAATGCGTGATTTTTAACACATCTGTGTGAAATTTATATCTTTGAATTTTAACTCAGTTATTTACTGTAAATATTGCAATACAGTCAATATTTCTATATTAATGAATGGTAATTCTCTCACAGAGTCTTCTTTTTTACTTTTTCTTGGATTATTGTTCATTACTGACTTATCATGGAGTATCATCAGGGCCGGCGCGAGTAGGTGCTATGTGTGTGTGTGTGGGGGGGGGGTGGGGTGCCATTACAACTTTTGCAGACTTAAAAAAAAAAAAGGCCCTTGATTTTTAAACGTTGCTGATTGCATATCAATTTTTTATTGACTGACTGTTGTGGCTTTATTTGTGCCAACAAATGTTTGGGGGTGTGTGATACCCCCATGCACCCCCCTACTGTCAGCCCTGAATATCATATATACAATCTGCTGCTAAGTTGACATCAGCTAAGTTTGCTTCTTTTTATTTTGCTTGCCATTTTCTTATTCCTAATTACATTCTTTACCTCTGCAAATCTCTTATTCACACACTGTATGGGAATGTTGTTGTCATATTTGGGCTGGTTCTTCTAATGATGCTCTTTCTCTTCTTGACAAGGTCCAAAAATACATATTAAACTAGGGCTGGGTAAAAAGTGGAAAATTTTAAAAAACCGTTTTTTAGTTTTTTATATTTACACCGGTTTTTTATTATAAAAGGGAATTTTTATTATTGCCGTATAAATCGAATATAACCTACTGAATTGATATACTAGTATTAATTCTGTAAACTAAAGAAAACAGAATTTAGCAAAATAATTTTTTTTTAAACAATAAAATCACAGTTTAAAGTCCACTGCAAACAGCAAACATTATGATAAATCGTCACTTGAAAATCATGTTTTTAATAAAATAATATCTATTACATATACAACATAAACATAACTTAATATGCTATTTTTTATTTTTATACTATTCATAACTGAATATATTATTCTCAACTGAAAATTATGCATGTGATCTGTTTACAAAAGTTTAATGTAAAAATATACTAGGATTTTAAGTCAAAATTACAAAAAAATTTTTGCTGACAATAAATTTGTTTTTGTTGTTTTTTAATTATTTTTATTTGAGATTGCTATTTAAATTAAAATCATTAAACAACAGTAACACAAATTTAATTTGAATTTGATATTTACATTAAAATAAATAAACAACAATAACAAGAAATTAAACAACAAACAAAATAAGATGACAAAAGAATATATATATATATATATATATATATATATATATATATATATATATATATATATATATATATATATATATATATATATATATAAATATATAAATATATATATATATATATATATATATATATATATATATATATATATATATATATATATATATATATATATATATATATATTAGTTGACAAAATACTAATTATATATTTTAAAATGTAAATAATAAATTTAAAAACTTTCCAATATATAACAAAATTATGGAAAAGAGCAGAGCAGACACTTTTATCATTTTTATTTTTTTCGTGAACTTTTCAATTATAGCAGTAAACAAGTCAGCAGCAGAACAAAAGGATGAAAATTTTTTTGATTTCTAGAAAGGTAGTTGTTAGACTCATAATAAGTTCAAATAGAAAAATAATTCAAATGAGAAAAATAATTGGACAATAGTAGGGGTAAGAGTGATATCCAAAGTTTTTCAAAATTGCAACTACAAATGTTCCCTTATCTAACAGACACCCTTGGCAATTCAATACCTTATTTCTTTCAACTATAAAAAGATGCTTGTTCTGCAGAAATTTGTGAAAAAGTCTTGTGAAAAAATTTAAAGAAGTGATTGTGAATAGAAAAAGCAGCTGCATAAAAGAGATAAAACCATGGGGTAAAATGAGGCTAGACCTGAAACTAATGAGAAGGAATGATAACTTCCATGTTTTGCTGGATTCTGATGGTTAAAAAGGTGGCACAGTTTTTAGCAGAGAGACCAAAGTAATCAGACCAAGTCACGAAGAAAATCATAAAAGTAGCTGTAATGAAGTAGTAAGAAAAAAAACAGAATTTTGATAAGATTAATTTAGTTCTTTATTACATTTGTGTTAAGCCATTTAATGTAAGCAGTAAACCATTTAATTTAAGCCACTTTTTATCATTTTTTAATATTTAAGCAAGTCTAAAGAGATTGTTTAAGCAGTATGAAGTAAATAACTTTAAAAAAACCACTTATGAAGTTTGAATGACAATTATGTAAAAAAACTTTGAATGATAATTATATTTGATATTAGCACTATTTACAAATGTTTTAATTTTATTTTTATTAACCTAACTTTTTCATCAAAAATGTTCAGCAAAAGAAAAAAAAAGATGTTATATGAAATTAAAAAAGAAATTTAATAAAAAACTTTTCTTTATCATCTTGTAAGCACATCAATATTTTTTTAGACAATTTCTCATAGCAAACAATAACAAAAATAATTAGCGAGTTAAAAAAAAAAAGTTAAGTAAAATATAGTACACACTAAATTTTATTTTATATTAGCCACTTGATATTTTAATTTTTTTTTGTTTGTTTTTTTAAAATGGTTGCTTTATTTAAAAAAATGAAAAATCACTAATTATTTCAAAATTTAAATGACATCTTATAAAGAGTTTTTTTTTTGTTTTTTAATAATTAAATAATAAACTTTTTCTATGGATATAACTCTAATAAGTTTTCAAAATAATATTTTGAAGGGATTTAGATACATTATCTAGAATAGATATACTTGATAATGTTATCAAGTATCAACATATTAAATAACATAAGTTAATAAATGTATCTATATTCTCTAAATATATTTTATTAAAAATTAATAACAGAGTTATATCTATTGAAGAAGTTTTTCATTTAATTATTACAAGTATTTACTCTTGAAGCAATATAGCTCTTGCAATATCTTCATATTTATAAGTTTTATTTATCGAAAAGTAATAGTTTAGAAAAATAATGCTTTATGATATATCATAAAACATTGGTTACATGAAATAGCAGAAAAACAACTAACATGTATGCGATGCTGTTAAGTTATTTGGCCTAAAAGTGAACAAAAACACTATGCTCTTTAATCTAAAACTGCAAATAACTAGTTCTCAGAAACATCCACTGATCTCTATAATAATTGGATGGTGCATCTCTAATATCAAAATTGAAGCCAATTTTTTGTACGGCGGCCATATTGGAAAGCCCCAGAATACTGAAAATACAGAGATTACGCTTGAAGATGTGCCTTTTTACTTCATTTATATCTACTCAACCAAGTTACATATTTTAATGATATTATTATATTTAAAATGTTTGAAGGTGTAAAAATTGTAAAAGGGGATAAAAAAAAAAGAAAAACATTAATGATGAAAAAAAATTGCTCTATAAAGAAGTAATAAAATTCGTATTGCTTTCTATGAACTTGTTACATTTATTGAATTTATGGTATTCTAAATAAAACTTTGCTGAAAGTCAAATTGATATTTAATCCGGTTACTTTTGTATGTTTATTTTTACAATTTGATGCAACCTTACTTAGCAGTAGTAGCTGGAAAGTAACTTTACAAGTATAAAACATGATAAAAACATTGTATCAAACAAATTGTAAATGGTTTTTTTTATTTTTGAAACTCTGAGAATGTGTTGATTTCTTCCATGGCTGACGTAGTAATATCATCAACTATACGATACTTTATCGAAATTAATATCACTTAAAAACAATTTTTTTTTGTTCTGTTGGTTTGCTGATTGTGATTAGATTTTGTGAAGGTGTGAAGAAGCCATCTCTAACTTTTAAGAACATTAGATATTTTCTGAGAACTAGTTATTTGCAGTTTTAGATTAAAGAGCTTAGTGTTTTTTTTTCACTTTTAGGCCAAATAACTTAACAGCATCGCATACATGTTAGTTGTTTTTCTGCTATTTCAGTGACATTATGCAATATATGTGAGAGGTCTAAATATAAATGTGGTATAAATGCAAAAAGATATGGTTTCTTTCAAGTTTAATTATTATTGCCTCTAAATCAGTAAAGTATTAAAAATTCAGCTGACATTTATCAGTTTTATACTGGTGAATGTTAGTTGTATAATTGATAAATCTTACAAATGTTTTTTGATAAAACAAATAACCAACATAAGAGACCAAAATAAAAAGTAAACATTTTTTTGTCTAAGTGTACATACTTTTTTACTTTTCCCTACCGCATAATACCTTTTTATTCAATGTTTATTTTGTTATTCAATGCTTATACAAGTTGTTCAATGATTATTTTGTCTAAGATGATAGAGCAATTATTATTTGATCTATGTTTTTTTGCTTTAATACATGCTTTTGTAGACTTAGATTGCCATTCCTATACAAATGTTCTAAAATTGTGAAAATGTCTCTTAGCACTTACAAAAATGTCTTGAAAGTATTTTTTGACAGTTAAGCGAAATTGCGTTATTTTTGTTAAACTTGGTAATTATTGCTTTTGTCATTCCCAAAATATTTTTGTTGTACACTTAAGATTTTTCTTTTATGTTAATTTTTTAGTTGGTAATTTCTGGCTTCTCATTTAATTACATATAGCTTGAACTACAACCATCTATTATAGTTGATTCTCTGTCTTTATTATTCCCTATATATATATATATATATATATATATATATATATATATATATATATATATATATATATATATATATATATATATATATATATATATATATATATATATATATATATTCATATAAAATTTTTTGACAAAGCTGATTTAAAAAATAAACATTCATCTGAATTACAGACTATAAAAATAAAATTATTCTAGATTTGTATAAATCAGATTATGAAAAAGAAATAAATCAACTGAAAAATGAAAATACACACTTGAGATCACAAATGACACAAAATTAAACTAAACAAGAACAAATTGAAAAAACAGTTTCTAGCGGACCAGTTACATGGTCATCAATGGTAAAGAACGAGAAACTACACCAAGTTAACGCAGCAATAAATAAACAAAAAGACAGATAGAAGAAAGAAAAACATAACCATATTGGGTATCACAGCAACAGTTACTTTGACAGATGAGGAAAAACAAGCAGAAACAAAAAAACAAGTTAGTCAAATTTTAACTATATAGAGCAGCCACCAACCCAGTGTTTGTCAAAAGACTAAAATGATTTTAAAGAGGCACAACAGCAGGTATAAATACTGTACCACCGAGAGCACAACAGGAAAAAATATTAGTTATACTAATTGTATAACTAATATTTTTGTGACGAGTCAGAGAGAAACCCAATATTAGCTAAGGCAAAGAAACTTAGGGATAAAATGAACCCACAGTACAAAGGTATTTACATTTCACCAGATATGACACAAGCAGAGCAATATGAAAATATGGAGCTCAGAAAATTAAGAGATACAAAAAATGCAGCAAGAAGAGCAGATGATCTCTTTTGATATGCGATATGTGGAAATGGACTTGACAAGTTTAAATGTAATGTTAAAAATAGAAAAAGAATTAAGCAGTACTAACAAATACCTAGAATGTTTATATACAAATGCAACATCACTTGGCAGTAAAATGTAAAAATTTAAATTCTTGTGTGAATCAAAAAAAGTTAATATAGCCGGAATCATTGAAACATGGTTTTAAAACTCATCCATTGTACAGTTAAAAGGCTACACCATATACAAGAAAAAAAGGTCCGATGGGCGAAAAGGTGATGGAGTTGCCATGCACATAGAGAATAACCTTACATCATATGAAATAAGTATTGGTAATCAGGAAAGCAAAATAGAACAAATATGGGCTGTCGTTGTAATTAGAAATATCAAATACCTCATTGGATTTATATATAGACCAAATGATCAAATAGACATAAACAATCTTAGATAAATTATACATGGTGCAAAAAACAAAAATAGATGATAAAATATATGCAGATGTAGTAATACTAGGAGATTTTAATTTTCCAACAATAGTAATAAAATATATGAACTAAGGTCACATAAAGTCCTGAGTTGTACAAACAAAGGGCACTTAGTATTGACATTTAAATTTTTTTATTAATAACTTAGTATTGACATTTAAACTAAACATTAAACAGAGTAGCAGAACACCAAAATATAAATTGTACTAAACCAGAGGAGACTACATAAAAAAAAAATAAAAAATTTAATGCAATTGCCTGGATCTGTTTTCATAAATCAACACAACAAATGTACTATCTGAGTAATTTATATATACTGAAAATTGATGTTAATGCAAAACACAAACACAAGAGAAATCCATGGTTTAGCGATAACCTTAGAGCATTAGTAAGAATGAAAAAAGATCTAATTTACAAAAGTTTAGCAGCCAAATGGAAAGATGCAGAAAAGATCAATGCATACAAAACAATTACAAAATTAGTATAAAAAGAACCTGTATTAGCCAGAAAAGACTATGAAAGAAACCTGATAATAAAATCAAAATCAAATCTGAAACTTCTTTATAAATATGTAAACAGTCAGACGAATAGCAAGCAATCAATTAAAGCTATTTTAAACACTAATGGTATTGTAACAAATAACCAAAATGAGATTACAGATATT